ATTTTATGACGACCCTTTGAGGCAGGTTTTATTTCTTTTATAGAGTATAACAACACGACATGGCGCGTAAACATCTTATATTTTTGTTTAGAAAGTAAGTTTAAATACAAACCTTTTCAAAGTGGAAAAAAGTCATAATTCCCCATTCATCAGAGCCGGTGATGCTTTAAACATTGATAAACAGCATCTAGTGTGTGTAGTGCTTATAAAATTAGTATAAATGTAGCAAGAAATTCTGCTTTTCTCTTTAAACGAAATGCACCCTGATGCTCAGGTCAAGCATAAAAAAGCATGCACATTTGTGCATAGGTAAAATGAAATTAATGAAACTTAGCACCAATAGAGTCCCTACTAAAGTGGAAATCAAACCTACGCCCTTTATTAGTGCCAGTAATCCAGTAATAACTCATTTGTTTCGCATTGTTTATTTTACCTGAGCTGCATATAATTATTAATAAACACAGTTGTTAGATTCTTAGTTTTCAGTTGTCCAGAAGGGAAAAGGGTAAGTGCTCAAACACCACCTATTGCCCCTCTGTGGACGTCACTGATCAGATATGTAGTTCACGCACTGCACCAAACCAATTTGCAAAGGGACAGATAAAACCTTTCAATAAAACAAACATTACCTACCACATTTATGACTCACTAAACATTTAAATGAAATCTTCTATTAATTTAGGACAAACCTATTCACAAACTTGTATTATTCCCCCTGTTAGTGGGGAACAGACACCTCGCTTATTCAGCCAGGCCAATGACACCCCTTTCAGGACATAGACGGGTATGGGCCATTACTGCCAAACGACCCCCATTCCAAAGGGCTGGACTCGTTCATCCTTTTAAATTTGCCTGTTTTCTAAACAAAAACAAGGCTTTGTTGGGCTTCTGTATAAAGTCTCAAACTCAATGCTATTTCTAACATTTTAAATTGAAAAAGGTTCCTTGATGGTATGTGAAATGTCTTCAAAGTTGTAAACAAAGTCTAGTGTATTGTTTTGGTTTTTTTTGTTTGGTTTTTTTTTACTATTTTTCTCTTTAAACTGGATCTGTATTATTCAGACTTCCAAGAAAATGTCAGATACAGGACAAAAAAAAAAAATACTGTATCTGCATTGTGAACGTCCCTCCAGCATGTGAATCTAGGACCTTCTAGGCCTTGAAACTCCTATACCATGCTAAGGTTTGGGTTCAAGGAAGTTATATCTCACACATCTCTGTTTATCCCATCATCTGGAAAAAGAAAACATTGCACAAGTACAAACTTACCAGGAGGGGTCTCTGCCGTGTTTGCTGTAAACCTAACAACATCCATCACCTTGTATGCTAAAACATAGTGGCATGGGCATCTTAATGTGATTTGGGTACTTTTCTTCAAAGGGCCAGGAAGCTGATGAGAGTTGATGGTGGAGTATTAATTCTAAAGACATTCTTTTTTTTTTTTTTTAGGTCAGTTGGCCCCCATAAAAACAAGTAAGACTGTGTGGGCACCAGTGGGAGGCCAAGCCTCTCTGAGCTTTCAGCTCACTGAAGATAAAGATGTCCTCCAGATCACCTGGCAGAAAGTCCCTTCCAATGGGGAATTAAATCTCGCCACCTACACCAAGAAATATGGTTACAGAGTCAGAGCTGGTCTTGAGAAGATTGATTTTCATTGTGAAAATCTTCAGAGCTGCTCCATGGTGATCAGGAAGGTGAC